ATGGAGAATTGATGTTTCCTGTAAGACTAGCTCCTTTCCTTCAGGGCCCATTTCCTATTCTCTCTGCCAAATGTTTTGGGGGTTAAAAAAATCCCTTTGTTTCTTGCTGGAGAATTAAGTACCACCTAGGCTGGTTTAGCCTTATTAACATTGATAATGGGCCTAAATTAGCCCTACTAGGAATATTTTACCTTCATAGGGCTTGATATTATTGAACGTTAGTTTAAAATTTTTTATTATTGCTTTTTTGCTGATATGATAGACAAAAATGTTATCCGTAGTTTTAATCTGTAACTTCTTGATTATAACTGAGTGTGTTTTGATATGTTTATTGGCTATTTCATAAACTGGCTGATATCTTTAGCCCACTTATCTTTTTAATAGTACTTTTTAAAGTTGAGTTTTTGTATATTCCGAATATTAATTGTCTCTTGTACATATCACAAGTATCTTTCTTCCAGTTTGCCTTAAAAGTTTATGTTGTTTTCCCCCAACATCTAGGTAATTTCTGGCCCATGTAGCTTCAAAATCTGGCAAATGTCTTGCTGTGTGTGACTCTTGCACAAGTAGACATTGTCTCATAAGCCCCACAAGGCCTTAGGATATTGTACTCTCTTTCTGGCCCAATTTCCCTGTTTCCTGTGTCACCCCAGCACTTGGTAAACATCCTCTGGGGAAACTTGTTTTGTGTTTCAGGACCCTTTCAACCCATCATGCCAGCCCATGAGCTATGAAGAGCTTTTGTGATTTCAGTTTCTTCTTGCCATTGACAAGTCTAATTCTCTTAATCTCCAAAAGGAATTATATATGAAACCTATCAGAAAGAAAATGGCCAGTGATCTTTACTTACCTGGGAATGGTCTTCCTTTTCTGGAATGTCAGTTCATTTGGTCTTCATTTTTTCATGATTTCTGATCATCTTTAAACATGTGATTTTTAAAAAAACAACAGTTTTTTTCTAGTTGCTGAAGGAGCAGTAAATTTCTGCTACCTACTATATCCTACTTGGAAGTGGAAACCTTTTTATAGATTACCTTTTGGGTTTTCTATGAACCCAGTAAAATCATCTGAGGATAATTACATTCTTGTTTATTCCTTTCTAGTGTATATTTACTCTTTTTTGTTTTCTTAATACACCACTCAAGAACTCCAGTACAATGTTTTATAGAAGTGATAGCAGATTTTTTTATTTCTTTCTTGATCTCAGCAGGAAAGGTTTTAGTGTTTCACCATTAAGTTGTTTGGTATTTGTTTATTAAATTATCCTTTATCAGATTAAGGAAGTTCTCTCTTTGTCCTAGTTTGCTAAGAGTGTTTAAGCATGCATGGATATTGATTTTTATCAAATGCTTTTCTCCTTTTGAGGGGTAGTAGCATTTTTCTCTTTTATTCTTTTACATTAATTGATTTTCAGTATTAATCTAAACTGAAGTGCTAGGCTAAATCTAGCTTGATTGTGATGTATTATCCTTTCCATATAGTGCTAAATTTAGTTTGTTAATATTTTCTTTTCCAGTTTTTCATCTATGTTCTTAGGTAAAATTAACATATATTTTTCTCATAATTTCCTTGTCAGATTTCCCAAAAAGATTATGTTGACCTCAAAAACTAGTTGGGAACTGTTTCTTATTTTTGTGTTTTCTGGAATAGTTTATGTAAAACTGGCACTATTGGCTTCTTAAATGTTTGGTACATTTGCTGGTGAAGTTGTCTAGCAATGGAGTTTTCTTTGGGGAAAGCTTGGAATTACAGATTCATTTTCCTTAATAATTTTGGTTTTGTTTTGTTCTGTTTTGAAAAAATTTTTATTTTGAGAGGGGTTTGTTGCACTATGTTGCCTAGGCTGCTCTTGAACTACCGAACTATCTCAGCTTACCTAGTAGCTGGGACTTCAGGTATGTGCCAGCACACCCGGCAATAGTTTTAGGATAATTAGCATTTTTAAAATTTCTTCTAGGGTCAGTTTTGGTAAGTTGCATTTTCATAGGCAATTTTTTTTTTTTTCTGAGTTGGCGTCTCGATCCATCACCCAGACTGGAGTGCAGTGGCATGCTCCCTGCCACCGCAGCCTCGACCTGCTGGGCTCCAGCGATCCTTCCGCCTTAGCCTTCCAAGTAGCCGGAATTACAGGTGCGCGCTACCACACCCGGCTAGTTTTTGATTTATTGTAGAGATGAGGGCTCACCAAGTTGTCCAGGCGGGTCTCGAACTTGCGGGCTCAGGCAATCCACTCACCTTGGCCTCCCAAAGTGCTGGGATTACAGGCTGAGCCACCGAGCCCAGCCAATTTTTTGTTTTTTCTAAACCTTCAAACTTACTGGCATTAAGTTATTGATAATAGCTGTCAGTAGAAAGAGCTTAGCAGTACATTTCTGAATGAGAAAAACATCATGAGTTCATGCTGGTATTTCTAGTTCAAATTATTATAGGGCTTTTGCTTAATTGCCTCAAGTTTGTATTTTTTTTCTTTTGCTGAAATTTTTGATTCTTTAATGGCATTAGCATAATTACTCATGTGCTTTAACTATAATATATGCTTATGTGTTTAAGTTCAAGATAATAATACCAATATTAAAATGTTTTAAAACTTAATTTTATCCTAATGTTAAACATTTCCATGATCTCATAGTCAAACATATGAAACCAGAGTATAGTAAGGGAAATCTAAATTTTATCCTGACCTTTCCTCTCATTTTCTCCCATTGGTGTTTTATTTGGGGGAGAGGGAGAAGACAACTATATAAGCAAGCATATGTAGACATATGTGTATGTATATACGTATGTATTCATATTTTTTCACGTTTCTTCTCCATATTTGTAACACAAAATATTTTACCTATGCACACTCTTCTGCACCTGGCTTTTTTCACTTGATGGTGTTTCTTGAAGATTGTGCCTTAGCAGCATACAGAGATCTGTTTCATTTCTTTATATCACAGCTTAGCACTTCATTATTTAGGTGTACCATACTTCATGTAGCCAGTCTCCTACTTATGGACATTTGGGGAAAAGTAACTCTTAAAAATTAAGACACTTTTCCATTCTCCAGACCACAACATTGCAGCATTGGCCAGTAGAACTATTTAATCTAATTATAACAGCATTTTTTAAAAAAACCTATTTATCTATGCATCATGCAGAAGTTATTTTATAGTATGCTAGTTTTTATTGTGTAGTGTGTTGGGAATAAATACATTTTTTAATTGGGAAGATAAGTCTCTTTTTTTATTATTATTATTTCTCCAGATTGGTTTTCTTGTAAGTAGCATAAGCTCAAGCCTTTGTGGCTTTTGCCTTATTATAGGTGTCTCTGTTTTACTTAAGAGATTTTTACTTGCTTATGAAACTCTCATTTCTCAGTTTGTAGTAACAATTTAATCTCATTAATTCCTTGCTCAGGTAATAAGATCCATTGTCTTTGTAACACCTCAAAGACATAATGTCTCCTTATAATTTATCAGGTTGAATAAAGGCTTATAGCTGATATATCTACTATTCATCTGCTTCAAGACAGTATCAATTCCTAAAACAGAGAGAGTATTATCAAATATGTATACATTAAAATTTCTTAATATTATTTTAGATTTCTGTGATTTGGTGAATAAAGCATTCTTCTCCAGCTCATATATGATTCTGGTGATTCTCTTTGTTTTTTCAAATTTGCCTTCTGTTTAAAGAATTTTATAATGAGTCATGATTTCTCCTCTCGTACATTCTTGTGAAGTATAGCAAAGCGTTATTTGGTCTTTTTGGGGGGATCAGAGTCTCACTTTGTTGCCCAGGCTGGAGTGCAGTGGCATGACCATCGTTCACTACAGACTCAACCTACTGGGTTCAGGCAATCCTTCTGTCTTAGCCTTCCAAATAGCTGGAACCACAGACGCACGCCACCACGCCCGGCTAGTTTTTTGATTTATTGTAGAGATGAGGTCTCACCAGGTTGCCCAGGCTGGTCTCGAGGCCCTGGGCTCAGGCAATCCTCTTGCCTCTGCCTCCCAAAGTGCTGGGGTTACAGACGTGAGTCACCGTGCCCAGCCACATTATTTAATGACCATAACCTTTTTCTCCACCTGCCTTCTGAGAGCCCATATTCCATTTTAACTTCTAATATACTTTTAATATTCTTCAATTGCTTATTCTTTTTTTTTCTTTTTTGGAGTTAGAGTCTCACTCTGTCACCCAGACTGGAGTGCAGTGGCTGCTCCCGGCCACTGCAGCCTCGACTTGCTGGGCTCCAGCGATCCTTCCGCCTCAGCCTTCCAAGTAGCCGGAACTACAGGCTCCCGCTACCACACCCGGCTAATTTTTTGATTTATTGTAGAGATGAGGTCTCACCAAGTTGCCCAGGTGGGTCTCGAACCTGCGGACTCAGGCAATTCACTCATCTCGGCCTCCCAAAGCTCGGGATTATAGACTGAGCACCGAGCCCTGCCATTGCTTATTCTTGAGAGAGTACAATGCAATTTTATCAAACAGTTATAAGTGCTTTTACCTTTTCCTGGATAATGCAGAGACCTTAGACTATTTAAAATAGTTTACTTCCTACTTACCTCCCTTATGCTGCTGTTGTCATCATTATGTATTTTCAATTGTATCACACCCCAGAAAACTTAATTATTATAGCTGGTTTTTATAGACAGTATTCATATGTCATGCATTTGTATTATCTCATTTAATCCTTAAAACAACCTTATGTGGTAGAAATTACATCATTATGTAATAGACGAGAAATTAAGGTATGGAGAGTTTATGAAATTTACCAGTTCATGTGACTAGTAAGTGGCAAATTGACTTAAACCCAGACAATATGAGTTCAGGGCCTGGCCTCTTAACTAATACAAACTCAAGTCATTATTAATCTTTTTTTAAAATCTCTCTCCCTGAAAAAGAATGACATGAGCCAAAATATTCTCACTAAGTAATTATAAAATTTTGACTGTTAGGCTAAGGGGCTTACCCTGACCAAATATGAGAGTTAATTTTTTTTACCATTCCTTTAGCTGATATAGCCCAGAGATACAGGATAAGCAAATACCCAACACTCAAATTGTTCCGTAATGGGATGATGATGAAGAGAGAATACAGAGGTCAGCGATCAGTGAAAGCACTTGCAGATTACATCAGGCAACAAAAAAGTGACCCTATTCAAGAAATCCGGGACTTAGCAGAAATTACTACTCTTGATGTAAGTTGCAACTTTTGCTAGATCAAATGAATATTGCCTGTTTAATTTCGTAAACAAGATCTAATGCAAACAAATAATCTAGACATTCTTCTGTAGTTGATTGGAATGGAGTTGACATATGCATACTTAGTGAGTTAAATTTTTCTTGAATTCTCAAGGAAAATACTAATGCTTTCCTGAACTTCTAGATAAAATATATGGCATACATTAAAGTTGTACTAATTTGAATTAATTGAAGGGAAAGGGAAGCCTAAATTATAAAGAAATGTAAGTTAAAGTCAAGCATATACAGTTTCCATATTTTTCTTAGTGGAGACCTTCCAGGTACCTGCTCTAATCACTCCTATATCAGCTCTTTGTATAAGTTTTAGTGTCCTCTAAAATATCCCTTTCTTGATAATAACCTTAGCAAACCTCTTTTTTTTTGTACTCAAGTAGGTTTTAAAAATAACAAGCAACAAAAGAAAAAACGAATTTGAACTTTATCACAATCACTGATTGTCACTATTAGGTTTGAGATTTGTTTTTACTCTACTTACAAGCAAATAAGTTAACCACTTACTATTCCATGGATTCCTTCAGAAGACACAAGACTCCTGGGTCAGAGATAAAGGACTTTATTGCTCACATCACAGTAAGCAGTGTGAGCATGTTTGCATTTGTTTTCTTGCCTCAACCCCACCCCAAGTCCTGTGGAGGCAACACTGAGGGCCCAGATAGATGCCTACACGTGTAGAAGGTTGTGTCACAGGAGAACACTGGGCTTGGGGAACTCACCAATTCAGAGCAAGCAGTAATACACTCTTTGTCCTGTGTTTGCAATGCCCTGGATAAATTACTTCATACACAGTGTTGCTTACTGTAAGAAATGTCCTAGGTAAAGACTGGTCAAGGTCTTAATTTTGGCATACCCAGTAAGATGTGTAGGAGTGAGAATAATCCATGAAGGAGTCTCTCCAACAGTCACAAGTTATGAGTGGATACACTGTTTTAATGCATTTTAGGATTAGTTACCTTACTTAGGAAAAGGCTGTTACTGACCAAATAACTGTCTCTTTCTTGACAATTTAAAATAAAATGCTAGAAGAAAATGTGTGTATAATTACATTTATTGTAGATAAAGATTATTTTCAACTCAATGTAATCCTTAACATAGTTTTAGACTAGGTATTAAAAACTAAGTATGCAATTATAGTCATACTTCATTTGAAGATAGTTGAACAACAGCTGGAGCAGTTTAGGTACCAAAATGAGGGGTAAATGCAATAATATGTTTATAAAACTATGTATGTTTTCAAAATAATTAGATATTTTATTTTACAGCGCAGCAAAAGAAATATAATTGGATATTTTGAGCAAAGGGATTCAGACAACTATAGGGTTTTTGAACGAGTAGCAAATATTTTGCATGATGATTGTGCCTTCCTTTCTGCATTTGGGTAAGTATCTGAATTAAAAGTGTTAGTCAGTTGGCTTGGCTACCATGTTAACTTCTTATTATATTTGATCTTTTCTTCTTTTTTTTTGAGTTGGAGTCTCACTCTGTTGCCCAGACTAGAGTGCAGTGGCAGCTCCCGGCCACCGCAGCCTTGACCTGCTGGACTCCAGCCATCCTTCCACCTCAGCCTTCCAAGTAGCTGGAACTACAGGCGCGTGCTACCACGCCTGGCTAATTTTTGATTTATTGTAGAGTTGAGGTCTTGCCAAGTTGCCCATGCGGGTCTTGAACCCGCGGGCTCAGGCAATCCACTCATCTCAACCTCCCAAAGCACAGGATTACAGGCTGAGCCACTGAACCCGGCTGTATTTGAGTATTTGATCATTTTCTGAAGATGACCTCTCCAAAGATGATCTCAATTCTCTAAAAGTCACCAACCAGTCTTTATGTCTTTACCTGAATTTTTCTTAAGGATTTAAAGGCATGCTTATTTTCCCTTCTATAGTATGTTCTGTTTCAGAATGTGGGTAAGAAGGAAAGAATGGAAACATTGACAGCTAAATCACTAACACTTATCCTGTGCCAGGCAAAATGCTAACCTGTGGTGTTACCAGACTGAAGTGACACATAGTCTTTCTTGTTAAGTGTGACTTCATTGTCTTCATCCATCTCCATCACTTCTCCACCTTTTCTCATATCTTGCCTGTCTCAGAGGAACAATTCTCCTTTCTAAGGCTAACCTCGTCACTGGTGTCCTTGTAACTGTCCCTTCAAACTCCTCTGGGACTTTATCCATCAGTTGTCCCTGCTTTCTTGTGTTTTCAACCTGACCTTTTTTTTTTTTTTTTGAGTTGGAGTCTCACTTGGTCGCCCAGACTGAAGTGCAGTGGCCACTCCCGGCCACCGCAGCCTCGCCTGCTGGGCTCTGGCAATCCTTCCGCCTCAGCCTTCTGAGTAGCCAGAATTACAGGCATGCGCTACCACGCCCGGCTGATTTTTTTTTATTTATTGTAGAGATGAGGTCTCGCTGCCCAGGCGGGTCTCGAACCCGCAGGCTCAGGCAATCCACTCACCTCAGCCTCCCAAAGGTGCGGGATTACAGGCTGAGCCACCGAGCCCAGCTCAACCTGACCTTTTTTTTATGAACTGCTTTCTTTTTCTGTAGATATGCTTCTTTCTTTCCTTACCCACCTTCTTCAGTTTCCTGAGCTATAATCTCATCTTTCTTTCCATTCCCTCATTTTTTCAAAGATTAGTTTCTGCTTGGCTACTTGAATTTTCTCAAACTCTAACCAGTAAAAACACCTGTTAGAAGCTGATTCTCACCTCCATTGCTCTAATGAAACTTATCCCTGTACAGTCACAAAATGACTTCTTAGTTACCAAATCCAGTGGCCTTTTTTCATTTTTAATCTTCTTCAGTTCCTCTGAAGGATGTGACACAGCTACCCTTTCCTTTTTCTGCTATGTCTATACTTACTTTACATTGAATCCCTTTGGTTTCTTCCTTTCTGAATTCTCTGACTTTATCTCCTTTTTTTTTCTTTCTTCCAAAATGGAATCATTTTCATGGTTCTGTTCTTGACTTTTCTCATTGGAGATTATCTCAGTTATACTTTGACTTCCATGCAGTGTTATTTTTCTGTTTTTGTTGGCTCATAACCATTAGATTCAGTTGTGGTGGCCATCAGACTAGGGCCCAGATTTCCAGCACAGTATATCTTCTTCATTTTGTGGCCTTTGATCTTTGTCCTTGCTTTGTTGCTATGTATGTTTTGTTGTGAACACTGTCTGTGTTATTTGAAGATCATCCTGCCCCATGCTGCTCTTCACATTCCTGCTCTCCAGCAGTACAGGAGACCTTACTGTTCCTTAAACTCTGCAAGCACCTTCTGCATCAGAGCCTTTGCCCTTACTGGTCCTATATTTGGCAGTACTTCTCCCAGATGTCTCATCAGAAAGTCTTTGCCTGGTACCCTTATATAAAGTAGCACTCCCATCCTCCAACTTGTCATTCTTTATCTACTCTTTCCACTTATTTTTCCTAATAGCACTTTTTTAAACCACTCAGAATAAATATATCTACTTGTTAGTCTATCATTCCTCACCAAAATATAAGCTCCGGGGGGGGGGTTCTGTCAGTTTTGTTTACTACTGTATACCCAGTGCCAATACCATAACTAGTACAAAGGAAGCACATAGCACATAGTTATTGAATGGATGATTTTTTGTTTTTGTTTTTTTTATCAGGGTCTCACTCCATTGCCCAGGCCTGAATACAGTAGCATGATCAAAGCTCACTGCACCTTGACCTCCCAAGCTCAGGTGATCGTTCTGCCTCAGCCTCCTGAGTAACTGGGACTACAGGCATGTGTCATCACACCTGGCTAAGTTTTTCTTGTTTTGTAGAGACAAAGCCTTGCTATGTTGCCCAGGCTGGTCTCAAACTCCTGGGCTCAAGTAATCGTCTTGCCTCGGCCTTCCAAAATGCTGAGATTGCAGACATGAGCCCTTGCATCCAACTGAATGACTTAATTAATGGAGCACATTCTTCTTTCTGTTCTCACTATCATCAATCTATATTCGCATCCCTTACCTCTATCTCCTGGACTACTCTAGTTAGAAACAAGAGATAAATCAGTATTCAATTAATGTTAAAACAACTTAGAGAATGTGTTACTACCTATTTGACTTAGAATTTATTGTAGAATTAGCAAATGTTTTTTGAACACCTGTTATATGCCATACTGTACTAGGCATAGGAAACAAGAGTGAACAAATAAAAAAATCACTTATATATGGAGCTGTATCTTAGTGATGAAGATTATTTCAGTTCATCTATTTTTTGTTAGTCTGTGATTAAGTCTATTACCTTGATACCTGGTTACTAGAAAACAGTCTGGGTTCAATACTAACTTTTTAATGCTAAAATTGCCAATCCACATTTATAAAATACAAAGCACAAAAACAGCTGACTAAAATTTCTCTTTAAAAAAAATCTGCCTCATATTAATTTTTTCCTTTAGATGTATATTTTATTGGTATTGCATAGTTTTATAAATAGAAAAGATCATGGGCAAGTATATATTTCAAGTCTATTATTTCTACATTGCAAAATATTGTACCATTCAGGTATATTACTGCTAATGTTTTCCATTCATTCATTCATTTACTTTTTTTAGTTGGTGTCCCACTCTGTCACCCGGGCTGGAGTGCAGTGACACGCTCATGGCTCACTACAGCCTCAAACTCCTGGGCTCAAGCAGTTGTCCTATCTGAGCCTCTCAAGTAGCTGGGACTGCAGGCATGCAGCACCACACTTGGTTATATATATATGTATTTTTTTTTTGTAGAGCTGAGGTCTCACTATGTTTCCTAGGCTTGCTATCGTTTTTCTTTAAAAAATATTATTACTATTTCTCTCTTCTTATTAGGGACGTATCAAAACCAGAAAGGTATAGTGGAGACAACATAATCTACAAACCACCGGGGGTAAGTTGCTATTTCTTAGTATGTATAATAAGATACAATTTAAATACATCTATAGTGTAATCTGTAGTTTTATATTTGTTAATGTTCATAGAATCATAAAATTTTAGAATAGAAAAGAACCTTGAAGCATCATCTTTTGCTAATCTAAAGCTTTCAAAGTAAAGATGGGGCTACAGAGGTCTAAAGTCACACAGGGGTTTAGCAGCAGAGCTGGGACTGGAGATCCCCTGACCCTATGGCCTTCCTAGCTCTTTTTGACATTCTCTCTGGGAACCAAATTAAAAAAAAATGATCCAGTGATCTGTGATCATCACTCCTGCCTGTATTGGACTAGTCAAACTCCCAGTTCTTTTGGGACATAAGTATACTTGGTACTTGCCAGATAACAAGTAGCAGCTGGGCTGTTTTTAACCTTTGGGCTAAGATGTTTTAAGTATGTCGAAACATAGAAGTAGCTGCTTAGGCCCAGATGGTGGTGGCCATAACTAAGAGGCAAAAATCATAGTCTGTGTTATTTCCAAATTGACTTAAAGGTCTGCCATTGCAGTGTTTTCACATACATGCAAATATAAAATAATCTATGGTTATTTTTTAAATTCATAGTTTCTAATGTTGTTTACACTATTTTGGCACACTGAGATTTTTTATGTCTACATAGTCAGATACATGAGTTTCTTGCTTGGTAAGCTCATTCCCTATTCTGAATTCAGATAGGTGTTTGCCTGTATTTTCTACATGTGCATTTCTTTGAGGGTAGGTTACATAGTGTCATCATCTCTAGATGATCATATTTGAGTATAGTGTCTTCCTTGTGGTGTGGTCATTCAGAGTATGGGGCTCTGTTAGCAGACTGCCTGGGTTTGAATGTCAAATGTGCCACCTTCTTAGGTATTTTACTCTGGGAAAGTTTCTTAGCTTCTCTGTGCTTTAGTTTCTTCATTAGTAGAAATAGGGATAGTAATAGTAACTGCCTTATATGGATGTTGGGAAGAGTAAATGAATTAACACATATAGAGTGTTTATGGTAGTGTACTTAAACACAGTAAGTTTACTCAATATTAGTTGTTATTTTTATTATCATTTTAGGCACTTCATGAATACTGATTTTGAGTGGTTGTAGAAACAGATCTATAGGTAATTAATAATAGAAATAGTCATACCTTACATCCATATTATGTCTTGTATTTTTTCAAGGCTTTTTATTCTCCAAATTTTCAATTCTAAGGAATAGCTAAATTCATGCATTTGAAGAATTATTTTCACAATGCCTTCCTTTGGTGAAGATACTGATAAACAGTTAATTGATGGGCCTAAATCCAAGGAAAAGCAGTAGACTTGGACGTCACAGGTTGGATCAGGTCCCTGGTAACACAGAATTGTCAGCTTTTTACCATCTATGGCCTTCTTTCTTAGAATTTCTATGTTTTATATTTCTTTTGTATATCCAACAGATTTTCTTGATTAATGGAAGGATTTGAGAATGTACTTTTGCCAGTACAGGTTCGATTTAATTGTTTTTTCCTGTTTTTGAAACAGCATTCTGCTCCAGATATGGTGTACTTGGGATCTATGACAAATTTTGACGTAACTTACAATTGGATTCAAGATAAATGCGTTCCTCTTGTCCGAGAAATAACATTTGAAAATGGAGAGGTATGGGCTTTCTAATGTGTGTTGTTATTTTTAATTCAAATATCTGAAAGAGCAGGTTTCCTATACCCATCTTACTATTTTAACAGTTGTTAGTTTTACAAATCATATAGTAAACATAACTATATTATAGCTATTTCCATAATATAGCCAGTGATTCCTCACCTTTGCTGTCCCAGAACCCTCTGTTACATTTCCAGTAATTGCAGTGTTCACTGTAGCCTTGAAAATTAGTTTGAAAATGCCTTTCAGGACTGGGTCCTGAACTTGCTTCTGAACTCCCAGCACTTTGGGAAGCTAAGACAGGAGGATCATTTGAGCCCAGGAGTTTGAGACCAGCCTAGGAAACATAGAGACCCTGTCTCTACCAAAACTACAAAAATTTTTAAAAATTAGCCAGACATGGTGGCAAGTGGTTGTAGTCCCAGCTACTAGGACAGATGAGGCAGAAGGATCACTTGAGCCCAGGAGCTTGAGGCTGCAGTGAACTATAACTGTCCCATTGTACTCCAGCCTGGGCCATAGAGTGAGACTCTGTCTTTAAAAAAAAGAAGAAGAAGAAGAAGAAAGAAAAAGAAAATCTCTGAAAATGTCTTTCAAGTGGTCCTGATACTCTTCTGTTGGTTGAAGATCCTTGTTCAAGTGGATGTCCTGTAGATGGAATGCCTGGCAGATTTTAGTTACAATTAATTCTATGCAATGAATAATCTTTTTCCACTAAAAAATTTTTCTGATTCCTATAAAGTAGCTGTAGTGTCTTTTTAATTGTAAATAATGAAAGCTGTTACCAGTGACAATGTAACTTTATGTAATTTTAATGGGCTTTATTTCAGTCATCCCATGTGCCTGAAATAAAGCCCATTACAATTCTTACAACTTCCATAAAGGCAAAACTCAAAAAGCTAAGAGGTTGGAGGAACAAGTCCAAATGGTTATATCTGTGAGGACCTCTCTCCTTTCTTCACTTTATGCAAAACATATCTTTCATTTTAGTGCTTTATTTTTTTTTTTTTGAGTCAGAGTCTCACTCTCTCACCCTGGCTGGAGTGCAGTGGCACACTCACGGCCATCCTAGCATTGACCCGCTGGGCTCAGGAAATCCTTCCGCCTCAGCCTTCCAAGTAGCTGCAACTACAGGCACGCACTACCACACCCGGCTAATTTTTTGATAATATTGTAGAGACGAGGTCTCACCAAATTGCCCAGGCTGGTCTCAAACCCCTGGGCTCAGCCAGTTCTCTCACCTTGGCCTCCCAAAGTTCTGGGATTACAGGCTTGAGCCACTGCGCCCAGCCTAGCTCTTTATTTTTAAAAACCAATCGTCTAGGAATGCAATCCAATAAAAAAAAATTTTTTATTACTATTGTTTTTAAAAGCAAAAAAGTATATGCATATACACTTCAAAGAATTACAACTGTGTAGATCAGATTTTAAATATATGACCCCAAAATTTATCATAAACACACCCACATAATCACCACCTAGTCAGGGTGTATATCTTCAAATTAATATTTTGAAATCCTAATCCCCAGTGTGATGGTATGAGGAGGTGGGACCTTTAAGAGGTAATAAGGTCATTAGGATGGTGTCCTCATGAATTGGATTAGTACCCTTATAAAACAGATTTCAGAGCTCTCCAGCTTTCTTTCTGCCATGTGTGGATACAATGAAGAGTAGACAGTCTGCAGTCTGGAAGACAGCCCAACCCAGAACCTGCCCATGTTGGCACCCTGGTTTTGGACTTCCAGCCTCCAGAACTCTGAGAAATAAATTTATGTTGTTTATAAGCCACCCAGTGTGTGGTATTTCTTATAGCAGCCCAAACGGGCTAAGCCATGGGGTGGGCAATTTTTTTCAGGAAAGGGCCAGATAGTAAATATTTTATGCTTTGCAGTTCATACAATCTCTTTTTCAGCTACTTAACTTGGCAGTTGTAGCACCAAAGCAGCCTTTGACAAATAAACAAATGAGTGTGGCTGTGTTCCAATAAAGCTTTATTTTTAGACACATAACGTCCACAAGCTATGAAATATTATTTAATTTTTTCCCAATTATTTAAATATGTAAAGACCACTCTTAGCTTGTGGACCATACAAAATCAGGCAACCTGTCAGATTTGACCCATGGTTGTAATTTGCGAGTCTCTGAGCTAAGTCCAGAAATAAAATATTTCCAGAACTCATTGTCCTCCTTCCCAGTCATTAACCCATTTACCATCTTCATAACCACTATATAATTTTGAATAGGACTCTCTGAGATTCTGCCAGTTTTTGAACCTAAAATGGAATCAGACTTTTATGTCTGGCTTCTTTCACTCAACTTTATGTTTGTGGAATTCAATCATACTGCATGAAGCTGTAGTTCATTCATTTTCATACAGAATATATTCTGTTATATAAATATACCAGAATTTATCCACTCTACTGTTGATGGGCATTTAGATTGCTTCCAGTTTTCAACTTCTGTGCATAATGCTGCTCTGCTATGAACATTTTCTTATTTATGTCTTTTGGTGAATATATGCACACATTTCTGTTGGGTTTATATGTCTTTAGGTATAACTGCTAAGTCATAGGGCATGCATATATTCAACTTTAGTAGATGATACTAAACAGTTTTCCAAAATGGTTGTAGCAATTTGCATTTCTGCCCGTAGTATATCAAAGTTCATATTACTCCACATCCTTACCTACATTTGATAGTGTCAGCCATTTAAATTTTTATCTGTTTTGGTATAGGCATAGTAGAATTTCACTGTGGTTTTAACTTCTATTCCCTGATGACCAGTGGAGTTGAGCACTATCAGTTGCCTCTTCTGGAAAGGCAGAAGGTCCTAGGAGAAAAGCAGCTTCAAATGCCATTCTTAATGCTCTTGGTTTCCTTCTATTTTAGTCTTTCTTTTCTTTTCTTTTTCTTTTTTTTACTCTTGGATACCTTCAAAGAGGTTTTTAAAAAATATTTCTCCAACTTTTCTACTTTTTCACTAGTAAGGTTGGTCCAAATTACATCCATTATTACTCCTGAAAGGCAACTTTTACCACTGTATCTTAATTTAATTATAACACAACAAAACCAGTGCAGCAAAGCCAGTAGTTCCTTAAGAAGGAATGCAATCTCAGATCTGATCTTTCCTGTTGCTAAGGTGTTTGGGGGGGGGGACCCCAAAAAAAAAAACCCTGGAATTATCTTTTTGAGGAGAGTAAACCCGGAATTTGCTTTTCCAGATCAAATGGTCAACTAGAGTTTTTATCTGGAAGTTTTGGGAAGGTTTTGTCACGATTTGTGGAAGAAACATCCCTAGTTGTGGTAAACAGGTGACTGGTTCTTCTACCATGACAATGCATTTCCCATTTTTTGCTGGGGGGAGGGTGTCTCAGCTTATATAGTGGTAAATGCATTAGGATTTGGGGACAGTATATGCAAACTTTCCAAGATTCTCTGAAACTCTCCTTGAATTTTTCCAGAGGCTTCCAGCTCCTTGATTGTAGTCTCTCTTTCTCCATATCTTAGGGAAAGAGAGAAGCACTTTAACTTGTGGAACTGGCCATCATGAGCAAACCAGAATTCTCTTTGGCTGCTCTTCATCTTGAGAAAGCATGCTTTTTTAGGGATTTTTTTTTTTTTTGTCTGCACCCATTGGCATGTTCAGATTAGAGGCTTTTCTAAAACTTAGGGATACATAAGACAAAAAGAAAACCCAGGGAACTCAGTGCTATTTCTTGAATCCCTGAGGTCCTATCCAGTTTGCCTCCTTTTTACTTTTCAGAGCCTTATATTTGTTTTACAAGGAGGGGACCCAAAAAACCCAGAATTTATTTATAAAAAAATTGTATATTTATTATTGCATGTTTAAACTTCAGCCACCTTCAGAATACTCTTCATTTGATGCAATACACCAATGAATATGGCTTTTCCACTGCTCAAAACAGTTTTTGAATCATCAATTTTGATGCCTTTTAGCGCTTCTGTCATTTTTTGGTCTCACTTCTTCCACATCAGCAAAATGTTACCCTTTGAGGACTTTTTTCATCTGGGGGAACACAAAAAAAGTCACTCAGAGCAAGATTGGGTGAATAGGGAGAGTGGGACATGAGGGTCATGCTGTTTTGGGTTAAAAAGTACTGAATACTCAGCGCAGTGTAGTTAGGTGCGCTTGTAAATCACCCATCATGAAATGATCAAACGTTGAAAGAATCTCCACAAAAAATTCACTGAAGCCTCTCACGGCCTCTCACAACAACACTGATGCCTATGGGTTCCTAGAACATTTAGTGGGGGAAGCCTGTACAAGGGACCTCACCCTCCAAAAAAAATTCCAGGTTTTTTTTTGGTTTCCCCCTCGTATATAATGTCCAGGATTTTTAGCTGTACTTCATGGGAGGAATGGAGAAAAGTATGTCTACTCCATCTTTCTGAAAGCATAAATCTATGCCAACAGCATTTAAAACTTTTTATAAGATTCTTTTAGCTTATTTTAAACTCTTATTTGCATTTTAGCACATAAAAAATAAGCTAGTGTTTTTATGTTAGCATGGGCGCAATTTCAGTGTACTTTTCCTACCATGAACTAATATTTAATCCTTGTAAACTTGTAGCAAATTAAAATCAAATTTATGAATGTATGTATGAGATTCTCTAGGTCTGCTTGCTTGGACCAGACCATTGCAAACCTAAATCATTGAAAATTGGCTATTTAGTGAGTATCTTTATATAGAAAGTGGATCAGTACTGCCAGGATCCAATCAACATGACATAGCAGTGACATCCTACTTGTCCTTTATAAGAGTTATTTCTCAAGTCAGTTAGGGTTCTAAATATGGCTTCTTCTGAAATGTGATTAATATATACTTTTAAGCCTGAAAGTTTAAATATCATAAACTTAGCCGGCTACATTACACAAACCGTATCTTAAAGCAGTGCCATATTTTAAAATATTTTGTCACATAAAAATATTAGTCATGGCTGGGCATGGTGGCTCAGGCTTGTAATTCCAGCACTTTGGG